CTTGGCTTATTATGGCTGGCCCCCACGCTATCCTAAGGAGTCTAAGTCTTGTATAGGAAATGGCTTGGCTAGATCATAAGAGGACAGTAACTACTACTATGTAATCTTCAACCTCATTGAAGGTATGAGAAGGGAGATAATATTACTTGAGCATGCAGGAAGTACAATCAGGCATCTTCCAAAGAGAGAAATATATGACAGAGACAATAAGCTACCTGAGCAATCACCCAAAGCCTCATTTGCAACATTGAAGCAACCAACTTTAGCTAAGGCCTAGCGTAACTGACAGACCATTTTCAGAGGTGGGAAATTTTTCAGAACCATCTTGCCCTGTCTTGGCAAGATTTGACAGTCTTTTGCCTTATGTCCTGCTTAGCCATTTTCAGATACCATGTACTTTGTCAGTGATTGAGGTATAGGCAGTTCCTTGCTCAAAGGCAAATTGTGCCAAGAAGAAAATAAATTCTGAGTAGAATATCTTTGGCCCTTAACATTCTCTCAGAAATAGATTGGTGCTGTCACAAACAACCATGTCTCTATCAATAGAACCCTAAGTTATTTAAATGCCATGTTTTACAGATCCTTGAAGTGGTTGAGGATTACCTATCTAAACAGAATACAATCTCTATGTATCTAAAAAACCTAAACAATCTGACTGTATGTACAACAAACATGAACAACTATTGACCTATAATATTTAATACCTGTATAATTTACATACTAAGACTTCATGTCAGAATATTAAATAATCTGTACACAAATGTACAAATGTAAACAATGTATAAGTATCTTGATCAGAGGTAGGAGTAATATATAATGCAATATAAAAATATATCCTAAAAGTTGTATCAATATACGAAATGTCCTAAACAGAAGTAGAAACATACATAAATACAATATGATAGAATAACTTTTTATAGGTATATAAATAATGTAAACAAAAATAACAAATATAATATAAACTTGTATCAGTATACAAAAACTATACCAATGTAAATTATCCATAAATAATAGCTCACAAGTATTCACTCTATTGCCCACTATTAGATACAAGGAACATACCTAAACATAATAAGGCAATGTACAGTGAGCCAATTGCCAACATCAAATTAAAGGGGAAAATGCAAAGAAATTCCACTAAAATCAGAAACAAGACAGGCTTGTTCACTCTCTCCATATCTATTCAATATAGTAATTTATATTCTAGCTAGAGCAATTAGACAACTAAAGGAAATTAAAGGGATACAAATTGGAAAGGAAGAAGTCAAAGTATCATTATTTTCAGATGATATGATAGTAAATGGCCCCCAAAACTCTACCAGGTGACTCTTACAGCTGATAAATACCTTTAGTCAAGTGACTACATACAAGAGTAACTCAAAAATGTCAGTAGCCCTCTTATATACAAATGATAAACAGGCTGAGAAAGAAATCATATAATCAATGCCATTTACAATAGCCTCAAATAATATAAAATATCTTAGTATAACTCTAACCACGTAAATGAAAGACCTGTATGATAACATCAAGTCTTTGAAGAAATGGAGAAGATATTAGAAGATAGAAAGATCTCCCATGATCATTAATCAGTGGGATTAACACAGTAAAAATGGCCATTTTACCAAAAGCAGTCTACAGATTCAATGCAATCCCCATTAAAATCACAACATAAATACTTACATACTTTTGAAAGAATAATACTCAACTTCATAAGGAAAACAAAAAAATCAAAGATAGCTAAAACAATCCTGTAAAATAAAATAATTTCTGGAGACATCACCATTCCTGATTTTAAGCTCTACTACAGAGCAACAGTAATAAAAATAGCTTTGTATTTGAATAAAAACAGAGATCAATGGAATCTAATGAAAGACCCAGATGTAAACCCACACCCCTATGGACACCTGATTTTTACAAGAAAAAAGGGCAAAATTATACAATGGAAAAAAGAAAGCATCTTCTACAAA